CTTCACGCCGTCATGATCCCTCTGGGCGTGACCTTGCCGACTACGCTCTCAGGCTACCTCTCCTCGACGCCCAAGACGGCGTCCAACAAGCACCAAGCCGCGTTCCGCTACCTCTGGCCCGAGCTCCGCGCCTGCGTCTGGTTCAACGTCTGGCGAGTCTGGAACGATCGCGTCTTTCGCGCCGACCTACCGCTGCCAAGTCCATGGACGATTGCCGTCAAGGCGGCACGCGTCGCTCAGCTACACTTGCACCACAGCCTCGTACAAGAGCCCGAGCAGCCTGCTCTTTGTCGGCTTCTCCGGCTCCTCGCCCAACACGAGTGGCCGCGACGTCACCTCGTCCCGCGGATCGCGCTCCTGCCTCCGACTGCCTAAATCAAGTCCCTCAACCGAGTCCACACAACGAAGAAAGTCCGACAATTTTACTTAGCATAGTTTTATCTGTAGTAATAGAAGACCCACTTCAACAACAACATCAGCGCACACGCTGTTGACGCCAGGAGACCCTAATGCAATGCTAACATTACGCTGTTATGCTGTTATGCACCTAATGTTCTTACTCTGTAGATCATCAATTATTCACTGGTTATATCAACTACACCAAGCTATATCTTACTTCTCTACGGCGTGGAAGTCGAGTGTAGGACAGCGTTCTGGGCCCTGGAAACCTGTCCGAAAGCTGGCGGGTAGCCATCTGGACTTGGTGAATCTTGTAGAAATGAGTGTGTAAGAACGCCACTGTAAAGTGTGGAAGTCATTTTTCACACGAATTTGAACAGAAACTTCGCTTGATCGTGGCTGGTCATGCAATTTAATTATAAAAATACAGGGGTCCCACATTCTTTTTACAGAATTTGTAAAAAGAATGTATAAAAACATTTTTTAAAAGTGTGGAAAACAGTTTGCACACATCTTTGTACCACATTCTACACTGGATCTGCGATCGTGCTTCTTTTTTCTTTACAAACGTGACATGTTTACAACATGAATTTAGCACACGTTTTAAACAATGCAAAGGACTGGCATACAATTGGGCAGCGAGCGTGAACGTGGACGACCATCATCGACTTGACACCGCGTGGGACGAAGCCATCGCCTCACCGTTCGTCCGCCGTGCCTTGCTGCCTCACTATTTCATTTGCCAACTATGAAGCGCTCGCTCTTCGGTGGCGCCATCTCGTGCGACGTGCCCAGCGGCTTTGCCGACGTGAGCGAGTTTCGCCAAGTGCCCGACAACCAAGAGGTGTTCGCCGACGCCGCGACCGACCGCTGCGTCATCATTGAGCTCCTGCAAATGGAGGACACCATTGGTGACAGCGCCACTGGTGTGTTCTACTTTAACGAAATCGCCGACTCGAACGCGTGCGCGCCGACGGACCGCCACGTCGCGCAAGCGTTTACGATGCCCGCGTCCGAGGTGCATGGGCTCCAAGTCCCTGCGCACATTGCTGTCGGTACGCAGGCCGTCGCCAAGTACAAGGAGGCCGCCAAGAACGTGATTCAAGTCTACGTGTGCTGCCTGCGCCTCCCGCGCGCGACGACCGACCTCGTCGTCTCGGTCACCGTGCCCATCTCTGTGGACCCCAACAGCAGCAGCCGCGGCCACGTTCCCACCGACGTTGACGAAGGCTCGGTCTTTCTTAAGGCCATCTTCCGCTCGCTCGCTGTGCACGATTGGGACCTCTTTCAATAAGCCTTTAAATACGCTGTCGTGTCTTTTTGGTGAAGTGTCGACGGGTATAAGTAGGTTCTACGCATCTCGAATGGCGAGGTGAACGCCCCGCTCGAGCACATCGGCCGCCGAGAGGGTGCTTGGGAGGTACACAAGGTGCACGACTTCGGTGACGCCCGCGGTCGCAGCATCGGACACAACCGTGCGCAGCAGGGGCAATGGCACCGTGGACGGGGCGCGGCAAGTCGTCGCAGCGTCGTCGAGTCCATTTGATGCTGGTACGGTACGCGGTGCAAAGTGCAGTAGGAGTGGGCCCGTCGTCGCCGACTCTGGCGTCGGTGCTTGCAACGTGTGCACACCGGTGGCATCGGGCAGCCAGGACGCACCGACGAGAACGACGCCGTCGACATGGACGCCACCTGCCGACCGGTCCTCAGTCGATACAATCGTTGCCTCGAGCGCTATCGTGTGCAGCGGCTGATTGAGGCTCTTGGCG